ATTTACATGGTATTTTTTAATGACTTCCAGAAAAGTAATTACAATCTTTGTGTCAGGCCTCACAAGTGCTTTGAACATAAAAAATGCCATGGGTGCTACTATTATTACAATTACAAAGATAGGCATTAGTTCGAGTGCTGTAAAGCTTGCTTGTCCTTGCCTTGCCACACTTTGCTTTTTAAATAGAATCAACAAGAAACAACTTTGGCTACTTCTGCATAGTGAATATTCAAATTAGATCATATATAAAAATCACTTGGGGGTGAGAGTGCAATTTAAATACATATTATTCTACTATAAGGTCTTATTTGTTACAGTAAGTATAGCAGGTAAAAAGGGCCAACCCCTACAGGGCTTCCCCTGCATTGTAATGTCACTAGACTGGTTTCTGCTAAGTTATTGCTTAATTGTTCTATTTCAGCTGAATTGATCCAAACTCATTAAAATATGGTTAGTCAATTATATGATGATAATGTATTATTCAGTTACACACCTACAGTTGTGATTATTGTTCTTGTTATAATATTTAAGTCTACCCCAAATCAAGCAATTATCTTCTGAATCTTTGTATTATGCCTCTGCACTTTGAGACATCTGATATTTTTATCTTTCTCTGTGGTAAAGTAGGGATCACAGCTAAGGTATTTTTATCATTTTATCTTATTTTGTTTATTTCATGCTTCCAAAAAGGAAGACTACAGGAACTATACAATATAGTAATGTCATTATTATAATTTATTAAGTTTTAATATCTTTTGTAGCCACACTTGAAAAATTACTCAAAAGAAATTACACCAATAAAGGAAGTTGTAAAATTAGATTCTCTGACAGACTCTACATAGATAGAATCTTGGTCTTTCTGTGGAATGATCTTTTAGGATGAAATAGAATGAAATAGAATTTTTTTTAGAAACATTTCTATCTGAAGGATCTTTCTGGTTGCTTTTATCTCTATGATCCCTTTGAACAGATTATCATGCCTGGTGAATATAAGTGTAACTCAATATTTTCTGTTTCCTGACTTCAGTTATTTACTGTTAATACTTTATCAACTTTTCTGTGAATGGTTCACAATTGATTTTAGTTCTATAAATATTCATTTTAAACAGGAAATACTAGTCTTTGTATGTACTATGTCTGTGTGAAGTGCATTGTGAATGCCATGTGAGCATTAACTCATTCGAATATTTAAATATTCCAAGGATATTTTTTTAAGTATGCTCTGTGGTGATGTATTCTGTAAAGCAAATAATGTCCCTTAAAAGTTTAAGTTTTTATTTATTTGATATATTTAAGCCATTAGCGAGTCTGCAAATTATATATGAATATATGACTTTTAAAAAACAAATCAACTGCAATCTATTTAGCACATTTTGTGTGTCAGATATGTCCTAAGTACTTTATATAAAGTCTTCACAATAACCATAAGACATAAGTATTATACCCCTGTAAGTAATAAAACTAAGTTTCAGAGAAGAAAGAAGCTTGCCTGATATACACACATATATATTGGGATTCAAACTGGGTCTGTACCTCTAATACTACCACACAAGTGAAGAATTTTATTCTTTCCCATTCCAAATATATGAGAATACTTTGTGTATCCCTTTAGATATGAAGGGGGAATTGATTTCTGTTCATAAAAACATGAACTGTTATGGAAAACATCTCAAAACATGATCACAGGACTGCTTGGGAAGGAACACAGGTTAATATTTTAGTTGTCCATGTCACAGGGAAATAGCACAAGTTGGTAGACTAAATCAAGATGAGAAGCACAGGAATAGACTCAATCTGAAGGGTTTTAGTAAATCAAAGAAAAAAAAAACCCTCATGAAGTCGCATTACAGGATGCCTCTGTGTCATGGACTTTAGAGACAGCTTTAGATACTAGCAGGAGTCAACTGTGCACCTGGGAACCAGGCTCCTCTCCAAGGAAGTTCCCAGGGCAAGTCCTCAAGGGAAGTGGAAACAGTGCTCCCTCGGGTGACGTGGCCCCAGTCCACGAGGCAGCGTGCTGGTGTACAGGCACAGACGCACGGCCAAGTGCAAGGTCAGGCGATCAGGGTTCCTCCAGTTCCCTGACAGTCCTGCTCCCTACATGCTGACAAGAGGGATTTTGTGTTCTCTTTGATGTTTATACAGAACCTCCCACCCTGGCACCCTGTTACTTCACCAGTAACAACTTACAGAAATCCTTGGGGTGGGAGGAAAAAACTGGATTAAACTCAATTTTTAAACTAGTTTAAAGCAGATGCTCAGTCCTCCCTTTGGCTTAATATCAATATATGGCTGGGTAATTAACCAGCTTCTGCTCCTACCTCCTCCTCTGTGGAATGGGAAACGTTCTGAGGTCTTATGAAAATGTTTTAACTAATCTTCAGTAAGTTAATTCAAAATAATCCGGCTCTTCTGTATTACATATGAAATTGATAAACAACTGTGTGTGTGTGTGTGTGTGTGTGTGTGTGTGTGTGTGTGTGGTGTTTTAGACAGGCTCTTCTCTGTGTCACAATCCTCCTTGCTCAGGCTCCTGAGCAGCAAGGACTGCAGGACTGCCCATTTATACATCATTTTCTCAACGGTGTTTTCTAAGGTTTCCTGGTGAATTCATATACAACCACACTTCAGCAGGGAAGTGCTACAGGTAAGTGTCTCTAAAGCTACCATCACTCCTTGAGGTTTCTTCCTCTGGGTACTGCTAGAGAAAAAAATAGCAAATCCTGCTTCAGCCACAGAGACTTAAGGCAGATGGGAGTCCTAGGGGACCCTAAACAGAAGCAAGTTTACACAAGTCTATTCTGTCAAAGTGTCATTTTGGCTCTATGCAAAACAAAATGGACTCTTAGTATAAAATACAGAAGGAATGACCAGACTAACTCATCGAACACTGTGCCTGCAATCCCAGATCAGCCCTTGTTATCTGCCTCCTGTGTCTTACTCATCTTTTCCAATTTCTTTAATTAATGTTTGCCTAAAGGAGACGGTGATTCCAGACGAGGGAAATAATAACTAAAATTCTATACTCTGCGTGTGTGTGTGTGTGTGTGGTGTTTTAGACAGGCTCTTCTCTGTGTCACAATCCTCCTTGCTCAGGCTCCTGAGCAGCAAGGACTGCAGGACTGCCCATTTATACATCATTTTCTCAACGGTGTTTTCTAAGGTTTCCTGGTGAATTCATATACAACCACACTTCAGCAGGGAAGTGCTACAGGTAAGTGTCTCTAAAGCTACCATCACTCCTTGAGGTTTCTTCCTCTGGGTACTGCTAGAGAAAAAAATAGCAAATCCTGCTTCAGCCACAGAGACTTAAGGCAGATGGGAGTCCTAGGGGACCCTAAACAGAAGCAAGTTTACACAAGTCTATTCTGTCAAAGTGTCATTTTGGCTCTATGCAAAACAAAATGGACTCTTAGTATAAAATACAGAAGGAATGACCAGACTAACTCATCGAACACTGTGCCTGCAATCCCAGATCAGCCCTTGTTATCTGCCTCCTGTGTCTTACTCATCTTTTCCAATTTCTTTAATTAATGTTTGCCTAAAGGAGACGGTGATTCCAGACGAGGGAAATAATAACTAAAATTCTATACTCTGCACAATTCCTCAACAAATACCATGTAATTCATAAAAATAACAGCAGTCATAGTGAGAAGTGATAACATGGTTTTCCAAAGAATCTTGCTCCCTCCATCCCTCTTCTTTCTCTACTCACCCCCACAGGAGTCCATCTGCTGCAGAAAATGTGAAGGCACTAGGACCAGAGAGCCCTTTCCTGCTATTTGCTTGAGAAACAAAGCTTTCCCTCCTCCCAAGTTGAAAGAAATAAAGGAGTCTGAACTAATCAAAACCTGCAAGCCTGCTGGTGGAGCTTCAGCTTGTCAGTGATGCAACTCAGCGGAGTGAGTAACGGCTTCGAGCTTTGCAGAAAATAAGAGAGGGAGAGAAACAGAGACAGAAACACAAAGAGAAAGAAAGGCATTAACCTGGCCAGGAGTCAAACAGGTGCATGGGGCCCGAACGCTGAGAAGAGTGTCTGGCAAACATAGGATCCAATGGCTACGTACTTCTATGGGTCTACATCTTTCTTTTCTTAACGGGGGATGGAGGGGCAGTACAATGTTACATCAATAGTTTGAATGTCAGGGCATACTTTCCTTTTCCTTATTTATAGAACTCATTGCATTGGCTGAGGGCCTTTAACTTTTCTCTACTTGTCAGTATGAAGTCTTCATGGACATTTTCTGGCTAGCAATGATGCGTTCTCCAGGATGCAGAGCAGGGCAGCCAGGTCGTTTACCACATGCTCTTCCACTATGAGCCACGTATTCCTGGTGCTTTCAAATGGTGGATCTGTGAGCACTGGGGCCGACACACTGACAATAGCAGCACTGTGCTGTGTGCTTCACAGAGAGGCTGCCTCCGTCTTCACTGGACCCTCAGATGCCACACATTGCCTTTTAAGACCCTCCAGGCCTTGCTGCACTTCAACTGACAAGTTTCTGATAAGGATCCTAAGTCTGTCTCTTGGAACTGGCTAGCTTGGATTCCTGGGTTTTATATGCTTTTAGGAACAGTGGGCTTGGGACCAGTAGTTAGCGTGGCTGCACCATCAGTCTGTAATTTGGTTTATAGGCAGATGTTAGAAAAAGAGAGGAACACAAGCAGAGGAAGGCCTGGCATAAGACCCTCAGGAGAAGGCCCTAGTTATGAGACAATGCCCACCAAATGGACACAACTCAGCAGGACACTAACCGGGTGGCATTAAATATCATCTTAAGAAAAATATGCCATCTCTGGTGAATTTTCAGTCTCTGGACCTAAAATGTTTGAGTACCTGATGACTCCATAACTCAAAAGACCCATTTGCTGGTTGTCACACCCTTGCCCACATGCCTCTAATTGAGAGTTTCTGTGAGCGTAGGTAAGACAGGTTTGGCCATCCCACTCCCCACAACCTCTTCAAAGGGGTGGGCTTTTAGTTAAAGCACAGTCTTTACCTGAAATGCGCCTGGGCACGTCAGTGATGGCGGGAAGCCCAGTGCCCCGTGTGGAAGACAGCGGCGTGGTGGAGTGGATGGAGGGAGATGTCATCTGGCTCAGGTAGGACGGGTAAGACTGGTCATAGGACCACGGCGGGGAAGACTGTGCCTGTCTGGGGTCTAGGAAAAAGAAAAAGAGTATCTTTATTATATCAGCCTTAGAAATATGCACCCCAAAACTTAGAATCAGTAACATAAAAAAAAATGAGCATATATAAATAATACCTATTTATTTCCTGAACAACCCCACCATTTCAGGTCATAAATAGCATGAAGTTTTCTAGACTTCAAGTCGCAATGAAAGCAACAAAATGGATCGTGAATAAGGAATCGTTGTCTCTCCCTTACATAAATATTTCTGTTTGGAAATTCCAACAATAACTTGGAAACAATCTGCTTTGGTTATCCCTACAAAATGTAACAGTATTTTATTTATTTTCTTATTTCTCTAAAATTCTCCCAATGAACACGAATTACTTTTTTTTTTAAGTTAGTATTATTTTTGAAGAATTAACTTGATAAAGAACAGGCCCAGCCACAGTAGCACTAGTAGCAGGGCACCAGGGCAGCCCAGGATCAGATCTTGGGCCAATCCGAGCAGGCTGGGCCTGACAGCACACACCTGTAATGCAAGTCAATGGGGAGGCTGGAGCAGAGGAGTGAAACAGAGACCTTGTCAAAATACTCCTCTTCCGTGTGTGTATGTGTGTGTGTGTTTGTACATGTGCACTCTTTCTTTATGGGGAAGGAGGAGGAGGAAAGGGAGGGAAGGACAAACATGTAGATTATACCTTTCATTGTTACAGGCCCGGCCACCATCTTTCAGACATGCTTTCTGGTTTTAAAGAGCATGATGCCATAATTTCAATATGGTGCATTCACTTTCTTTCGAGGTGGGCCAATGGAATGGTACTAGAATTCTAGCATGTGGGTTAGAGAATTAGGGGTAGCTACAAGAACCGTGGGGACAGCACATGAGAACAACAGAAAGGAGAGGAATCCATTATACTATTTCTATACTAAAGCTAAATTAGAAAATCACCTTAAAGAAAAAGATAAAACTTAATTTCAGAGTCAACTACCATTAAGAACTGAAAAACTTCATCCCAGTTCATGTTAAGCATATGAGTTTTGACAATAAGAAAATGATCCAAAACAGAAGAGTAGGTATATGTTTTTAATCCTATTGGAATCTGTTTAAAAGATGTCACATGGAGGCCAGCAAGTGGCGCGGTGGTAAAAGGCACTACACTCCCACATAGCTGACCACAGTTCAAGTCCCAGACATGGCAGCCTGCTTTCTCACTTTTTCTCTCTCTTTTTCTCTGTGTCTTGCTCTGGTCAAATTAAAGATAACAATAATGATAAATAAAATAAAGGAAATAATTCTTATTTTAGAATTATTTTATTTAACTTTATTATTATGTTTCCAGTTTGATCAGAGACAGAGATAGAAAGAGAGGAAAAGTGAGCAAGCAAAACACAGGTCTAGGACTTGAACCACCATTGGCCATGTGGGACTCCGGTGCCACCACGTCACCTGCCAGCCCCAGAAACAACTCCTAAAAAAAAAAAAATGTCACATGTTTGGAATGTGCTCTCATGTTACCCACAGTCACTAAAAGTAATAAAAACAATGGGTAGTCAACAGGGTACTTTTAAGGGTAACCCTAAAAGTGTTAGTGGCATCCTAGCTAAGGCAGCTAGATCCCACATAGATAACTCTGCCGTTGGAGGCCTAGACCTAGTGGCTTGAAAAACATGCAGGGAGGTGCATGCCCAAAATTCTGAAAGGAAAATAGAGAAGGGATTATGGCATGGCCATCACCCCTGGTGGGTGCTTTCTCATTCAGCCTCCTCAACTTCCATCTTTCTCTGCAAAGTGCACAGGCCTTGTGGCAAAATGTAAAGATATATACAGACTTTGAGTATGCATAAGAAGAAAAGGTCTACTTGTTCTGTTTCTAAGGCAAAAATGTATTTCAAACAAACTGTTTTACTTTTACTTGAGGGCTCACCAAACAGAATTATAAACAGATTTCTCTTAACACATTTTTATGCTAATTTTTAAATGTCTATGCTAATCTCTCAAATACCAATAGACCAGCTGCTCACAGGACAATTTTGCATAATAGAATGTGTGTGCATGTTCAGAATTAGGTTCAAGATCTGAGATTTCTACTTTCTGTGTTCTGTGTGATCTTAACTTAATTACTGAGCCAATCTCAGTATTCTCATCTGTAAAGGAGGGGGCAGAGGAAGAAGAAGGGAACAATATCTGAATGACAGAAATGTGAGAAGTGCATGAGAAAACTACCAAGAGAAGGCTAGCTCAAGAGATACCCAATAAGTATTCATTAATTTTTATCCTTGTTTAAAAATACTCTTGATGAAGTAGTTTCTGGTTTTTGGTTTTGCCTTTTTTTTTTTAAATTACTAGAGGGCACATATGTTCACCAAAGAGAGAAAGAGAGAGCATCCCCTAGTGGGGCCTGGTTATGCCACAGTCCTTTTGCATCCATTTCTTCATCCCATCAGGGTTTGGGGTACGCATGGACTTGATGTGTTTTTCAAGCTACCAAGGCAGAGATTCAAGTCTTGATTGGCCATGTGGGATCCAGTTTAACCCTAACCACTGAGCATAGGGCTGGACTTCCATGTTGGAAACCTATCTGAACTGGAGTTATTACATTTTGAATGATTTTTAAATTATCCCCACATCACTTATCACTCTTTGAAGATGAAAGGCTCAATTATCAAAAGCTATTAATAAACTTAAATAGTAAATTTGGGTTTATCTCTAAAAATAAAAATGAACATAAGAGGACATGGATTTTTCTGAGCTGATTCCTCTTTCAAAGCCTCTTAGTTTTTCTATAGCCAAAGCAGAGTTTAGTTTCAGCTATTTCTTGTTTATTTATTCAATTCAGAAGCCATTTATTTAAAGACTATCTAAATAGGACATACTTCCTTGAGTCGAAATAATTAAATACATCTGGGTAGTTATCTGATGTTTACTGACATCAACACATACATAGAAAAATTTCACCGAATTCAATCTCAAGGAAAATTTACCTGATTTTGCCATTTGAATAAAAGTGTAGTATTCTGATTAACATAAACTTTTCTTTCATAAACCTAAAAAATGCTTGATCATTAAAGTAATGAACTTTTGTGCTTTAAAACTCTGAAGACTGAGATTGTATAGATTGGCAACATTTCAAATCTGAGTGACTGGTCTTTGTTATATATCTGATATTGACATAACTTCCTTCC